TGTAATATTTTGAGTTTTCCCTTTCAACATTCTTGTAGTTTATACCTTGAAAATCAGATATTCATCGTTTTGAACGAGAAATGATTCACATTGCAAATTCATACTGGGGTTGAGCAATCGATTGTTTGATTTGTCACTGTTTAGTTCGAAAACTGCATATCCCGGCAGCTAGAATTTGATGCCTATCATATGTTTTTAGCGCATCCACTATACACAACTGCATGCTGCATATTCAAGTATGACTAGCAGTGGTGTTCACTCAGAAGTCGATAAACAAATACAACAACTGCAATCGGTAAACTGGTTTTCTCTCTTCCTCTTCCTCTGTGTTATACTGGCTGCTCTGTAGGCGCTTGCAGTACTTGTGGAGGAAAAGACAGCGGTACAGTCGGAAATGCGCAAAGTGAAGAGTGATTTGGAACAAGAACGTATTTTGAATGAGAGTGTAAGTTCCCTTTGATTTTTTTTACAGTTTAACACTTTTCGCACTTCTATGCTGCCGACAGATTAGATTCGTTGCCATCCATACTATAGCACAATAGCATTGTTCTCCTTTTAGCTTTCATCGAGTCTCAAGTCCCTGCAAGACAACGAGTCCAAGAAACTCCAACATCGTCTGCAAGAATGCGAAAGGCTTCTTACCGCACGCAGCACGGAACTGGATGGTTTGAGAAAGAGCGAAGCTAATGCACAAGCTCAATTGCTTGCTGTGCAGCATGAAAGGAGCGAGGCTCAGGTAGCATTTATGGTTCTTCTCTTGGGCGAGGAAGACTAATACAACATATTTTAGGCCCGTTTGAAAGTGACAGCTCGTGAGAAAGATCAGCTGGAAGCGGAGCTCAAAGCAGTTAGGAAAAATTTACATATGAAAGAGATTTATCTGAAACAACTGGGTCCACATGGGATAGTGAATAACGCAAATGATGAGAGTGCAATTAAAGCACTGCATGGTGAATGATTGATGCTACATACCTGTTTTCCTTCCTTTTGATAACCAGTTTGGTGATATGCCCTTTGTAAATTATGCGTTTGATTTTCCCAGTTCAGACCGCATTGATACCCTTCAAAATCAAGTCAGTTTGTTGACAAAAGAAAGAGATCAGCTTCATCAGAATACGGCGGAATTAAGCAGGCACTATGAGACCTGTAGGCTAGAATTTGTAAACACGCGAAGTAGAATTGAAACTGAGGTATAGTTCCGTCTTTGAAAAGACATTCTTATTGTGGTAATTCTTGTTTTAGCTGTCCGAAGCATCCTCAGCCCGCGATGCTGCACTTTTACGTGTGAGAGAGCTGGAGAATGACATCAGTGTGCTGCAGAAGGTAATTTTATTATTTTTGTGATTTCTTTTTTGAGATCCATTCACTGTTTTGCATTCTGTGATTCCTACTTTACATGTGCTCTCTCACATGACTTGATACTTTTGCCTCCCTTCTCTTCTTCAGATTCATTTTCTTGTTGCTCCTTTAGCACCGAAGAATATTTGTCTGAATATCTTTTTCCTTCCATAACCATACTGGCGGAATTCCTTTCTGCACCTTATTTTCCTGAAAATTCCACATTGTTTCTTCCTCCATTTTCCCAGTCTACACTATCGCCATACAGGAGCTCACATTGCAACGATCGAATGTTACTGACACTG